TGGGTAATGAAGAAAAACTTTAATCTACCTGATGATGACAAAACCTTGTTGAAACTTTGTGCATTTTCTGTTATTTAAAGTTTTTTTAAAAATTTTTTCTCCATTCCCCATACAGTCCCGTCTCCAAGCATTATTAGTCTCAAAGTGGGTTCCTCATCATCGAATTTGAAATAACATTATATTCAATCAACTAGTACTTTCTGTACAAAACATGGCATTAAAATACAAAAATATCAATAACTACAAATTCCATTTTTATTTATAACTTTTGAAAAGGAGATAAATATGGGTAATATGTTTTATGATAGCCATAACTCAAAAAACATATTACTGTATATACATTTAAAAGTTGCATTAAAAATGTTTGGTTTAATAATTACAAGGATTGCAAGTTCAATAATTTTATATCATGGTCAAGCACTTGAGGTTATCAGTTAGAAGTCAACTGATCAAAATAGCAACAATAGTTTAAACTTATTATAATATCCATTATCATTAATGTCTATGATTATAGTTCACATCTTTTATATATTTCATCCTACTCAGTGGTAATGTATTATTTAAAGGTTTAGTTATTGTAAAACAACCACCAACCTGTTTTAAAAATACCACTTAAGAGACAAGTTTTCTTCCCATTGTCTTCACACTAAGAATTTTTACTTTTCCCTGCTATTTTGATATATTAATATGCTAAAATGAAATTTATATTATTACATTAAATGAAAATTCTATGTAGTGTAAAAGCCATTTTCTGGCTTCATATTTCTGAGTACACACATTTGCAAAGTCTTTTTATTTTTTCTGTGAACCCATGAGTGAAATCAAAAGAAAATGTGTTATTATATGTCAACCACACTACCTCTGCCATATCCAGAGCCAATGAAGCCTTTTGCCCAATACCAGGGGCTCATATCAGGCCAGCTGGGATACAACAGACAGTGGTCTAGGCTAGGCATTATATACACCATCAATTTGCATGAATAGCAATTGTTAGGATATTATTCAGATTATGCAAGAGAATTATAATTATTATAAATTTGACTTAGGTCACATATAAATCAGATTTTTAGGTAAGAATTAATAACATAATATTATTTATTTCAACACTTTATTTACTTATCACTGTTATGTTGTAATGCCACAAATGTTAACTTTAGAAATGCTACTCAAACCACAGAATAGAAAGATGAAATCCCACATTGAGAAGATGGTGGATGGACTGGTGTAGATAACAAAATAAAAAAAGGTGAACTACTTTCTGACTATGTAGCTACTGCAAAAGTAACCTCCAAGAAGGAAGAGATAGAGATTCTAGGATTGCCAAGAGGGAAAGGAGCAGGAACCTGATAAGAGTTTGCCAAAAAAAACGAGCAATGAGAAAAACCTGGAAAAGGGGTGCTTTGAATTTAAAACAGCATCCTGGGAAGAATTCAAAGAGGAGAGCAGTCATACCAAAAGATAGTGGGCTAATCCAGACTCAGAAGAAATACTGTCAGAGCCAAAGAATTTGGGACTAGTGACCAACCAAAAAAAAATAGCAAACGTGGTATAGAGGAGTCATAAAACCATCAAAGTGAGAAGAAATCCACAGGAATATCAGGAGATAGAAGGAGCACTCTGTTAAAAGGATTCAATCCAAGTCAAGTAAGTCGATCTGCTACTTAATTCAAAGCTCCCAGAACATGGAAGGCCAACAACCAGATGTTGTTTGTGTGAGCCCAAAGAGAAATTTTAGAACAAGAAAGCAGAGGTCCAGTGAGTATCTCTATGTCAGCTGATGTAAGAAATGACAGTGGAGTTGTCAAAATAGACCAAAACAGAATACCCAGACAGCTCTAACAAAATATAGTGGCAGGCCTGTTTGACTGACTACATCTCAAGGGCATTGATATGGAAAGAAAAATCTGAAGGAGACCAAACCCCGAAAATAACAAAGGATCACAACCTCTCTGGCTGGAAAGGCAAAGAAACAAGACGACAGTGGAGTACAAGGCATATGCCATTGATCCATAAAAAATCCACTGAAGAGGACACAAAATAATGCATAAAGAGGAAGAAAGAACACAAGAAAGGCAAGAGATCCCATAAAAGACAGAACCTCATGCATAGGATGAAAAAGAGATGTGAGTCTTAGAAACCAGAAGTTCCATATCTTGGAAATGTAAAGGAGAAGACTGAACCAACCAAGCAAATAAGGTGATAAAGGTCAAAATTGACTTAAGAGCATGACCAATCCAACCCAAATGAGCAGACTCCCAGAGGAGAAGGAAGGTTGTAGTAAATGATCTCTCTCAGGACAGGGCTAGGAAATGCCAAATGTCCATATAGTGGTGGAAATGCAAGCTCAATGAGTGCACTCTCCATGTGAAAACCCTCAGGACTTATTTGAAAACATATGTGAGCTCTTACAGACAAAGGAAGTTCCTGTGAAAAAAACCTGTGTGGCTCAAGGGTTTTCTGCAAGTAAATCCACAAGCAACAAAGTGTAAAAGCCAAGCTCCTACACAACCAAAGCTGAGGGGTGGTTTCTGAAACAACTGATCACCGAGCCCCATGACAGCTGACCTCTTGATAGGGAGGAACACAAGGAAAGAGTCTCAGGTCAAGAAGCCCAATCAAGAACTTATGTACAAAGGAAGAGTGCCAAATGGAGTTGCCCAAGATAAAATTGTAGAAAATAAGACATTCCAATGAAGCAGTCCAAGAAAAAAAAAAGGAAATAAAATGAACTGGACAACAGTTAAAGAAGAAAACTGGCCAACATGAAGGACAAGTTGTGCAAACTTATCCAACACAGCTGTTGGAGTTGAAAGGCAGAGTCTCAGAAGAAAAAGGTAAAGAGGACAACAACTGAAGAAGTTGAGTACACAACAGATGAAGATGACCAGATTGAGGGTAAAAAAAGGGTGACAAAGTAGAAGAAGATTCCAGCAGAATGAAGAGGTTTGAGGAACAGAAGCACTAAAAAAGATGAAGAATTCTAACCACAGGTCACAGAAAAAGAGCTTAAGATCGAGAAGAACATAGCAACTGAGAGTCAACACAAATCAGAGACAGCATGAAACTATAATAATACACAAATAGGCATAGAAGGAAAAGGGTTAAAAAAAAAACTTTACATTTGTGGTACCTGCAAAAAGTTCATCTGAGAACCAGCAGAAATAAATGGAGATGTATAGTTAAATGCTGATTGCATTACAGATTGACACAATGTATTATTATGCACTACAATGGAAATCTAATTAAAAGGCTTGGCACACATGTAAAAATGTTTTGGTAGTAGTGCGAGGTAATAACTATCTGTTCTGTGCACAAGAGAGTAACATTTCTGAAAATATACTCTAAATGGTTCAAAATCTACAGTATGTAGAAAACTTACAAAGCTCCACGAGCAACCAAGGCCTCTACATTTTCAGTATCAATTTGAAGAGCTTTGTTCAGACATTGAAAAGCCTCGGTATGGTTTCCTGCCTTGAAGTGGGCTACACCATCTTTTACACTAAAAGAAAAAATCCTGTTATTCTAAATTGTTCTACGAAATGAAACAATATTACAATTCAAGAAATAGTTTACATTTGTTACATTTTGGTATGATCAGTTCACCCAACCTCCTAATTTAGATTTTTATATACATTGATATAAACACAAAAAAATTCTTTATAGAATTATAACTTTTTCACTTTTTATTGATTATGACTAAAGGAGTGAAATAATATATTATTCTCTATAATATATTAGTTACTAGTTGTGACCTGCAAAATATTTACAGTAGTTTTCTTGCCTTTCATTTGATTTTTCCTTATTCTATCATTTTAACGCACAGCATTTAAGCTATGCTTTCACGCAGGCATTATGCATTAAATCAATAAATCCTGGTTTATTTCAAAAAGTTTTATGCGGTCAGAAAAACAAACTTACATAAATGTAAGTATATTTAATAACACTACAGGTACATAACTTTATTTAATAAAAGTACACATAAAGTAAACAATGAAGTATAGCAATGGTATTTATAATAGTGTACAAAATATTAAACAGTTATGTGCATTCAGAGTATGACATGGTTTTTACAAGCTTAAACAAAGAAACTCACAAAAACAAGGAATAAAACCCAAAGTAAAGAAAAAAGTAGCTAAAAGTTGTTTATTGCAGTCTATGAAATGAGCCAAAGCTAAATTATTGCAAAGTAAAGTTGTAATGAAGGCAATCTTAAATGAATATGCAGAAACATCTGAATGCATGTTCACAAAGTGATAAGCATATAGTTTTGAATTAACTGAGCACACACACATTTTAAACGTAAGTTGAGAAAGCCCATAGAAATTGTATTTAGTGTAATGTTCCTTTTTTTTAGGAAAATACACATGGGTTAAATGTTGCTTCTGTGAAATACTTTGCAAGTAAAAAACTAAAGTTGAAATCAAAGCCAGTCATCACATGTTGACAAAGACACTGTACCATCATGTAGCATTAAAAAGTTTGACTACGCAAAAAAAGAGGTATGGTGATCATGAATGGAAAAGCTAATATACAATCTGGACTCCTCAGAGAAAAGCCTTTCTTATGATATGAGATCTGTAGCATTAGATTGAGAAATTTGTGAGAAAAGTTCTGGACAGACAAATGTAAGTGTATTATTTATATACATTTTTTTTCAGCTAGCTTACAATGAAAATGAAGACTAAGATTATGTAAGAAACTTTATTATATTATTTATATACATTTTTTTAGCTAATTTACAATGAAAATGCAGACTAAGATTATGTAGGAAGCTTCAGTAAATATTCCTGTAATAATAATTTGGCAAATGATGACTTATAAGCATAATGAAGTGGTTTATTTTGGGGGGGGAACATACTACATGTTTCAACAGAACACTGTAGGACACCTGAAGAACAGAGCAATGTTCTTTTAAAACAGGAAGAACATTCCCCAAAAAATAAACCACTGCATTATGCTTATAAATCTTTTTTGCCAATTTATTATTATATCAGCATAATGTGTTACCATACTCAAGATATTCCTGTGCATAAACAGTCAAGAATAACTTTCATTGAAAATTGATGATTATTGTACACAATAAAAATGAAATATAAATACATTTTTATAAAATATTTGCCAAATTAACCAGAGAAACTTTTTCACTGTTTAACCGTTTTTCAACTATCTATCCTACAAGAAATCTAAGGCAATTACATAACACCTTCCACATGATCTTTGGTTATTTTTCAAGATTTCTAGCAACTAACAACCATTCTAAGGATGATGATTACTAGAAACTAAGCAAGTTACAAAAATTGTAGGACACGAAATTTTAGCTGGGGGGAGCATAGCATCTGTTAGCAATACATGTGTGAAGAGATGCCAACCCTAACTAATGTGAAATAGGAATGACAGCCTAAAATAAAAATCAAATTATCAGACAAATAGGAAATGCATAGTTTTCAATTATTTTGGACAATGCATGGACATCTAGCAGTATATTTGGACTTAAGTTTCTGCAATACTTATGCTTAATTGTTGCAATTGATGTTTTTCTTTTTTTTTGTTATTTTTACCTTTAGTTAACATTATGGGTATCATTTAGCTATTAAACTTACCTGAAATTTGTTCTTTTGTAGTTTTATTTCTTTTGGGTTCCTGATTTTTGTACTATTTCATTCTTAGGGTTGTGTTATAATATGAGTTTTGTATCAGTATGCAATTTCTTGATATAATGCATTTCTTTGTTTTGAAACAAAAAGTTACATATGGACTATCTATGCTGTGCTCACCATGAGTATCAAAACCCGGTTTGTAGATTATAAGCATTCAGACTTACTTCCAAGCCACTAGAGAGGTGTAATGTTATAATTGTTAAGGTTGATTTCTCTCTTCTTATTTTCACCTTTAGTTTATGGGTACTGTAAAGTAAATAAACCTGTGATTTTTATTTTTTGACTGCTTCAACTTGTTTCAATAGTACATTACTTGTTTGGATGCACATTGTTTTGATAAAGCTAACATGGTACTCCAAAATTCTGACTAAGCTCACTATCAACATAATTTCCAACAGGCTAATATTTTATTCAGTATCATGAAAATATCAGTCTGCTTTTATGAGATGGTGTTCCATAATGTATTGTTAATCATTATTATGTTTATATTTTATATATCTTTCCATGTTGTTTAGTTGAGCTGTTTCTTGTGTTTGTTTACGCATATGAACTCACTTTTCATTATAATTAATGGTAACATTATTCTCATATTTAGAAAAAATGACTCGTACTAGGTGGCACTGAGGTTTTTGTTATGGTAAATGTATGTTCATATGTAGATCAATTTGTCACTTTTTGTAAACAAACTGAACAAATGTTTTGACAATAACCAATAATTGGTTTGATATGAATTGTGATCTTGTCATCTGGTAGCAAATAAAACTGAATTGAACGTTGATGCTAAAGCCAGATAGATGCTCAAGAATAAGGAGCTTTACACTGGATATTGCTTGGAAATCAGTTAAAACATGTAAGTGGTTAGCTTTAATTAATCAGTGTTGAATTATTCAGTATATTTTGTAATAACTTATGAAGTTGGATTCTTTTCTTTCTGGTTATTTTTTCCTAAATCCTTGTGTCAAGGTTATTTTTCAAATGTAAGTATATTTTGTTTACCCTGTGAAAGTTCTAATAAACACTAGTCTTATTTTTTAAAGAATTCTGGTATTAATATATCAATTATTCTTAGTGTCTACTAAAAGACTCCTTACACTTACAGAAGTACAAACACTTAACTCTTTCTGTGTGGCAAGGTCAAAGTATGCATGTCTCAACCTTTTACATACAAAATTTAATTAAACAAAACTATATTATCTATTTTTGAATATCTATCAATTAACTAAGAAGTCTTCTAAAAAAGAAAGGAACCAGATTACTTCTAGAAAACTGAGCAGATTAAAAAGATACTTAACATACCTTCTATGAGCCCACTTGGCTGACTGCAGTCTTCTCAGAGCTACTGCAAACTCTTCTCTTGGATATTCTTTACTGCAAGAAAAAAGAAATATCACATGTTTAGATCAAATAGAATCACATAATACAAGTTCAATTTTTTCTATGAAATTAACATAAATTAGACCATTTCATTAACTTTCTTCTTTCTGTACATTCACATGCATAGATTAACAAATTATCTGACTATTATCTTACAATATTTCATATAAATCTCTTAATACCAAGAAAAACTCATTAGTGGTTAAAAATACTATAAGCTGACAGTTCTGGAAAAGAACAATGATGTTTATTATAATTATGGTTTTATAGACTTTTTTTTTTCAATTGAACACTAATGACATGTTTTCATCTACTAAAAAATATCTATATTATAATATGGAATTGTACACACAAAAGCTTTGTCAATTCTGAAGGGATTACCCTCAAAGTTTCTCAATGGTGTGAATATGTACATTTAGTTACTAGAAGTCACAATTATGTACATTAAAATAGTTTATTTACTTTGTACTTTCTGAAGCTACACCTCAATTGACAAAGACAGCATACAAACACTTTCACAGTGACTTTCCTGATGTCACAGGGCTAGTCCTTTTATTTCATTTTGGAAATGTTTTGCATTATTTGTTGACAAGAATGCATAAACTAATAGTTTTCCTGTTACCCTGTGATAAAATAAATATCTAATTAGTTTCTTACTTTATTTCTTTAATATTTTAGGCTCTACTGCATGAGGCTATTATATTCTGTAATGTAATCAGTTATACGATTGTTTGAGTTTATTTCTTTAGTTTGGGTCTGACTCGAGTGCACAGGCACACTAATGTACGTGCATGATTACACACTTCCCTGCACACAGCAGTGTATGCTATTATTTTGTTTACAGTCTGGCAATTCAAAGTTGGCACATGTGATAACCCTACCCCCATTTTATTGTGAAGATATGTTCTTTCAACTTTAAAAAATATGGTACAATCTTTTAAATACTAATGTACTTTGTGATACCCTAATCATTAGAGGGCCTATACCAATACTAGTTATACTCAAAACAAGTGCCACTGTTCCAACAAGCAGTGTTGTTTTGCTTATTGTGCACTTTATCATCACCATGGATAATCCATGGGTCCCTACTTGTATTTCATATAATCTCTGAAAGGTGTTGATGCCAATGTAAGTGACTAAACATATTAAGCTTATCTATTACATAAGATGCAAACTTTTGTGTTGCCAACTACCTCTGTCTTAATTAGTAGTCTGTGTTAGGCCTATCCAAGTTTCACTAAGAGTAACATTAGTTCCACTTTCAGATTCTTATTTTTTCAGGAAAACATTGTGCTTTTTTTTCAGCCACATGACTTTTAAAAACTGCTTCACCCATGTTAGAAAATGTCAAATTTCTTAATAAAACTGTGCACTTTGCACTATATTTGTCACTTCTAACTTCTTCTAGCCATCCTGTATATTTTTCATTTTCAAGAAATTGTCTTATAAAAGAGCATTATCAAGGCATTTTTACTGTACATCAAGTAATCAATTATGTAAAAATAACAGATTCCCAAAAATAAACGCATCATCCTTTTGAGAACCTTTAGTTGTAAGTTTATACATTCACTCTGTAATACATAGATAGAAGGTTTGCTCATTTGACTTCAGTCCCACTAGTTTGACAGGTACAATCACAGTGATGTAGATTTTGATTGGTGCAAAAAGAACAGCTTGTAAGCACGGATATTTGAAGGTTATGACGTAAAGTCCTTTACTGATCACTAAACCTAAAATACTATTTTACAAATAAATTACCAGCTAATCTTCTGAGTAATAATAAAAAAATGAATTGTGATGATATATTCACATGTTATTTAAACATCTAAAGTATTTTAGATTAGTTGCATTGAGTAAAAGAGTTTACATCAAATCCTAAAAAATATTTACATTCACCACTATAAGAACCTAAACGATATTTCTTTGAGTTGCTCTCCAAAGCAGTACTGATGAGCTGTGATTTGTCAAAGAACAATAAAGTTTGGAGATGATTTGAATAGGTGACGAAGAAAACTTCATTACAAGTTTAACATGGTAGAATGTGTTCAACATTTTGACAAAGTTTTGTCACCATCAGATCTAATGAATATTATATTTCTTACTGTGTTACACTGGTACTAACAGTTTATTTTTTCCTTACCCAATCTAGCCATCTCCAAGTGTTGTTAGACTTTAAAATGTGTTCCTTGACATCAAAATAAAATCAAAGAATAGATTAAGCCTCAACACCTTTCATGGATTAATTCATCTTTTTTTACTGAAATTATGTTTTGGTGATGAAACATTTAGGTATAAATAGGTGTTACTATGCACAAAGCTTCGTCATATTTTCATCAATAAACTTATGACAGAGTCATTGATGTTATCAGTAAGTATAATATTGCAAAGAAGGGGTAACAATGTTAGGTGTTCTACAGATAATTGTTTAAATTCAACAGTTCATCATATTACTGTCATCCAAAAACATCAATCTTTATTATAAAATTATTCTTAAAACTTTAAATTTCATTAACATTTAAAAATTTTCCATGATTTTTCAGGCATGGAAATTTGACTAAGCAATGTCATGACTTCCATGTTTTTCATGACCTGTACAAACCCTGTATTAACTTAAGTAGCTAAATATTCAAAATAACAAAATGAAGGATTAAAATTACTTACTTATAAATACCTCTCATAAGAGAACACATCTTCCACGAGGGAATCCCAAGGCATAGACAGAGATGAGTTACTGTAGTTGGATTGTTAAAACCCAAGGTTTGTTCTAGTACATCTGAGTAAGTTTTTCCATGGCTTTTAATCATTCTTCTGTTAAAAAGAGATGAAAATACATATTTCAGTAACTTTACTCAGTCAACCATCAAACAACATTAAAAAAGGTGTGGTATAAAGCAATGTGAAACTACTTTCAGTTTTAAATATAACACACACTGTTAATCTAGCAGCCAGTGCTTAATAAGATACCTTGAACTAAAAAAAATTGATGAAATGCTTTATTAAATTTAATATGTAATTTTTTCAATGATATAGAATGTAATAAATCAAATTGTAAAACTCTTTAACGTTCACTAAAGACTCGATTTTACATTCTGTCAGCTTATAAATAAATTTCCTAAACCTCTTATTGCATTTTAATTTCTCAAATGATGGTGTGAACTCAAGATTCAAGTCAAATTTTTGGGCCATAAAAAGTGAAGTTTAGTTGGTTCTATTTGCGGATTAACAATTCTGTTGCTTTTCATGGAAGTATACATCTTACTGATTAATAAATCAAAACTTTTACAAACAAAAATCTTTAATTGCTACTGAAAATAATTTATTAGGAGAGATTAAATTCTCCCCCCCTAAAAAACATATTTCAGCTCCACATTTTTTATTTTATAAATACTCTGTAGGCCTTGTAACTAAATATTTAAACAGCCATATAATGATATTGTGCAAGTAGCTGTGAATCAATATTTTTTTCTAATCAACTATCATTGGCTAAATTTTCATTTCTTATTGACTACAATCAAATTGCTCATTTTTTGTTCTAACTAACTATATTGGATTTATTATACAATTTTTGTCCCAATAAAAAAAAATCATTTGAGACGTGTGATAAAATAAGGAGCTATTTCCAGTCATTGTTAGGTTAACAAAGAAAACAGTCATAATGGTATTGTCTGTTTTCCCTTCTTTCTCTCTTTTTAAAAAGAAGTTTATTATATGAATATCTTATGTATTTTGACATTGTCTAAATAATCATATAGATTCTTCGTGTATTAATTTTCTTTTTCTACAAGTCTAAAGCAACAAAAGCAGATATGTTTGGCTAACAATCAAACATAATATTGCAAAAAAGTTTAGCTGATGTGATGTACATGTAAAATTCTAATAAAACACATGAAATTACAGCAGAAGCAATTAGGCAATTCTGTAATTTTTTCACGTGACTTCACTTGAGGATAAGAAAAAAAGTTAACTGTGTTTCAAAGCTTCAATAAATATGTATATCATGACTATACAAACTGTCAGCATAAAGTTTTTTTTTGCTTTTTTTTCAGAATTTTACTACAAAGCTACACAAACAGCTACTTGAACATAGCTTTCCCTAGTTTTGAGTTGGTACAGAAGAAGAAAGGAAATTAGTTAACAGCATCCACTAGAAACTTCTGGGGTACTTTTTTCTTACTAAGTGGTAGAATTTGACTGTCATTCTTGTAAAACATATATGTCCCCAAAGTCTGGAGCATCTTTTTGCCACAACAGGCTGGGAACCATAAACTTTCAGATCAAGAGTTTGAGCACACTGAGTTACACCTAGACCATCAGCATAAATAAATTTATTCTAGCAAGGATGGAAAGGTGTGATACATTGTATTTGTCAAAGAATTCACATATTCCAAAATCTTTATTTATATAAGATTTGATACATGAACATTATTAGATGAAATATAAGATTATAGTTAAATGTGAAAACCAATGCTAGTTTCATATTAACAGAGACAGGAAATGTCAAATGAATAAACTTACTGGTGATGTGATGGAATTTCTTCTTCACTAATAAGCCCCTGAAATAATAATGTTAATTAAAATCAGATCAATTTTTAAACTTAAAGGTGGAACTGGCTAATTATACTCTTCACCTTTTAAATATATCTTTATTACTTACAAATAATTGACCTAACAGCAAATTTAATATGAACGTTCTTTTAAATAGTTCCTTAATAAGCAACTAAGCTAGCAAGTATTTATAATGATGTGAAGATCGACCTAACTCCTATGTTTACTGCTTCACACTCTCCTGAATTAAATTTTCCAAGCTTGACAACAACTAAATAAAAAGTTCAATAGGAATTGCTCCAGCTTTCAAGATGTGGACTGATACTTATCACAAAAAAATACCATTTTAATTTTTTGCTGCATTTCTGGAGGAAGAGCTTCTTTCTTCAGTGATATGATAATTTTTTGATGCTCAGAAATAACATTTATTACTACCCCTGTGGACAAAAAAAAGAAAAGACAGCATTAAATTTGGAAGAAAAAATTAAGTGATAAAAACTTTATGATCACAATGCTACAGAATTTGCTATTAAAATAACTGATTGTAGAAAACTGTAAAAACACTAGACTTCCATGTAGTATGTACATGTATTTTCTACATTTACAGGAACATTGTTAAAAATAATTTGGAAACACAAAATATTAAATAACACATTAACTTTTACAGCTTTATGGTTTCCAGTACTACAAAAATATATTAGAAAAAACATTTTATTTACCTCTCACCAGATCTTTCAGCTGGTACATACCAAAGAGGTTGTCATGCACAGATACTGATAATTGATTAAGAGGACAGAATACCTGCAATAAATATTGTAAGCTGTAACCAATCATTTTCATACATTCAATGAATATCTTTTTTGATAATTGTGTAACTTTAAAATAACCAAAAACTAACAGAGCTGCAAATTAAGAGATCACATCTTCCTCTCTCTCTGTATACGTATTAATACTTGTTTTCATAGGTTAAGGTTTCACTGTAATTTTCGTTCTCCCTCATTTAATCTATACATATAAAGATGAAATGTATGTTTGTTTGCACCCTAACTCCTCTGAACCTATTAGGCCAATCTCAACCAAAATTTGTATGTAAACACTATGAACTATGGAGAATGTCCTAAGGGGGTCAAAATCGAAATTAACCCTATTTCTATTTTGTAAAGCCTATTTGATAATTATTCCCAGCCTATTGAGACAATCTTGACAGGTTGACACTTTGAATATTCTAAAGGGATTCAAGGTCAAAGTATGGAAGTTGTTGGTTCGTTTTTCAAACAACCACGTTTTCCTCATGGTCAAAGTAATTTTCATTTTACGATTAAAAATACTTTTATGCATTAGAAAATTTTCAAATTTTCTTTATAATGTCCAGATAGTTATAAAATGTTTCTTAAGAAAAATACTATATTTTATCTGTTATTTTCAGTAACAACCTCTGTATGAGTTTGGTCAAATTGACCAATCTCGTAGTCACCATAAAAAAAATTGGGAAATAAATATAAATTATACCTTTTTCATTCCATAATGACTACAAATTATAACAAAAAAACATAAATGTTTAGAATACATAGCTTAAATCTCATAACATTATACATTTATATATATATTTATTATTTTTTTATACTGACCTTTCAGCCATCCCTGGGCTAACAATACAGAAGTTACAATGAATTGGAACATGTGCACTCATGTTACCGTATCCAATAACATAAAACTGACCTTAGTCTTTACAAAGTGACCTGTTTTGGTTGTTTTTTAGTAGAATAGTATTTTTTAAAATCGTCACATTTCCATTATTATACATCATATGTATATAGATTATTGCTGTTTAGAAATATGTTCTTAAACTTATTTCTCTTAAAACATAGAACAGTAAATAAAGAAGTAAAGCGAACAATTATCTCTTCTAGTTACGACCTTTGCAGTCGGTTGCTGCTGGACGTAGGTTGCTAAGCCTTTTAAAATTTTGCACGTGAAACTTTGAGCAGACTAAAGACACAACCTACCTCATTGAAATCTGGGTTCGAAAGAAAGTGATAGCGTACAAACACATTAAAATGGCTGAGAAAGCTACTAGGAGGATATTCTGAGCTTCTAATTGGTTATTCATGTCATATATAGAAATAAGTGTATATAAGGGAGCATTTCCAAAAATGAAAAGAGGTTGGCAGGGTGCCACTGTGTTTGATTTATTACATGAGCAATATCTTAGCAAATTGAAAAGATAAAAGGCGCTTATTTTATATTCTAACTTGTCAATATCAGTAATTTGAGTTCCTAATTCATACAAAAATATAGACTTAGTATTTTGACATCACAAACATCTAATTTGAACCAATGCTGCATTCAACGTACCACGTGACACTCAAAAATCCATGTTTTACTGTGTTTTTTTTTAATATTTACTTTTAAATTAAGAAATTGAGTAACATATAATAATAAAATTTCAATTATAATCTACAGTTTGATACCAAACTTATTGACATCAATTCATGAAATTGTAGTTCAATAAAATTTTGAATTCGAGTCAACAAACGTGATGACATGGCCTTTCACCCATGACCCGTCTGGAAAGGGTTAATTAAGTTTAAACATTCCCTGTCAGTTGACAGGTATTTCAACTTGTAATCAATAAAACTCATGTTCTAAACTAAAAAAACACACTAGCTTCTTTACATGATAAAACACTATGTGTACAATAAATCTGCACTATTAAAGATACAAGTTTGTCTCACTTACTTGTTACAGTAATAATGTTTTAAAATTATATTCAAGGAACATAACAAACTCTACAATGAAAAAAACATGCAATGTTGAATACAATAGTCTAACTTAGTGTTCCTCAACTGGAGTGCTGCAAGATTTTAGTAAAATAATGTTATCTACCATTGCATATCATTATTATAAATTGTGATTAATCTTTCATAATCTTTGACAGTACTAAATTATTTGGTTTCCTTTTTTATTTTTACCCTTTTAATATTTTCTTCTAGCTTGTCAGTAATATGTTTATACAATACACTTCTTGAAATATGAAGCTACAAGTTGTTTAAGAAATACTTACTTTAATCCCAAGATCAGACAATTCTCGTTTTTTGCCCATATCCAAGCATGTCACAGTAACTTTAAAACAATTTTCTTGAACTCCACTTATGTATCCTATTATTATATCACCTTTCTTGACACTCTAGAAAGTTAAAAAAAAAAGAACTTTATGAATCGAGAAATTTTGGAAACTTTGATATATGAATTAATAACATCAGAAAAATGCATTGGGTGAGTACACTAGTTGGTCACATTTGATACATAATGTGAAAACTACATGCAACTGAAACTTTCAACCTGAACAGCAAGTTGTGTGCTTGTGAGCTCGAGGTTCAGGTACAGCTGTCCCTAAGGAAAGGCAGGCAGCCAGTTACACCTACTATCACAAAAGCTTTACAGGAGAGATATCACTCTTATAATGCATCCATAAGTGAAAGCCTACAGCTCATTCATTGGTATCATGTTTCAAACCCCGAGCCCTTCAATGTATGGTCTGTTAGCCATTTGGCCATACTTGGCCTAAGAACTACATACCATAAAATCTTTCATGAAAGTACAGTCATAATGGCAAACTAGCTGACATACCAGTACATAAGGAGAACTCTAAGGGTGCATGTCAGGGTTGGTGACAGTTGTCCCAGTGGTTTGCCTGTTAAACATGGATGCAATGCACAGGGAAAACACAAATGTCCCCAAGGAGTGACAAAGGAAGGGTTGTTGTTTGATTCTGACTCCCCATGTCATTCCTGGGGTCCTAAAGGTACATGTCAGGTTTAGTGACAATTTGGCACAGCAGTTTGCCGGTTATAGTGGACACACACTCATACACAGACTTTTGTCATATAATGATTTAGAAAGTAGCAAACTGGCTCATATTCTGTCATTCATTTCTATACCACAGCTACAATCACATATTTTTTCAACCACATTTTAAACTTTATTAATAACATTAAGTTAAATTATGTATCTTTTTAATTAGATATTACTTTAATTCTTAAAGTAAATCAAGCCAGGATAATTAGCGCAGTAGTACAAATGAATATGTTTGATCTTATATTTGCATTTAGATAAATTCTTGAAAACTGTATTACCTCAAAGAAATGCTTTTTTCGTTCATTTCCAGGAACACCCATAAAACTTTCTAATGGTGGCATAACAGCACAGAGATCTAGTTGAAAAGTTAATACATAATAATTATTCACATTTAACAAGTTACAATTACATTCAACTAATCAAAAATCAGATGTTCCTACAATGTATTTAAGTACAGCATGCATAACACAAATAATATACAGCTAAAAATATAAGAATTTGAAATAATCTAATCCCATCTAAATATACAAAGATACCAAAAAAACATTAAAGTTGATGAGAAACCATGAGTGTAAAAATATTATTGTAATCTTATATGATTTTTGCTTATGATATTTATTCAAAGCAACACAACGGCTATATACATTACCCATCCCTTTATTTTAAACTAAACAAAATAAATCAACCTTCCTAAAAAACTTAAGATTACACTAATTACAGTGTAATCTTAACAATTACACAATTAAACAATTACACTAACTAATGTTTAGTCTACTAACTATAAAGAGACAAGTAATGACAAAAATGCATGTAGTTTAAACTATAGACTTTGTAGGATATTTATATGGAAAGCAGGCAAACCCAATGTTACCCTGCTTATTAATAGTTTGCTGTATCTTAATCCACAATTAATATTAAAGTTTAATTTCTTCCCTTTTGAAATAATGTACAATGATATTGTAGATAGTCACATTTATGGTGTTCTCTCTATTTAAGTGAGTATCAATTTCAGGATTCTTCTAGAAAAGAAAGCTCTATAATTATGTAATGTGTTGGAGGCCAAATATATGCATTTTTTATGTGACTGTGCCAGGTGAACGTAAACAGTATATACAATGTTTGTAAGTAGAAAACAACACTCAATCATAATCTTGAATGGGTAATGAAGAAAACTTTATTATAAATGTACAACATTTCAACAAGATTATGTCATCATCAGGTACAAGTAGTTTACAATAGACAGAGCAATATATATACAGTATGAAACAAAGAGGTCACATGACTAGAGATTACTTAACAGCCTAGTAAAAGTATCTTGGTATGTATCTAGTATCTAGGGCTGTTTTGTTCAATTAAGATAGCTTCCTATATTTTGCATTTGTTGATGTTTGGTTCTTTGTTTAAAATTACAGTGTTTTTTTGAGTTGCAATGTTGGTAAACATGGGCGGATTTTTTATTATAATGTTTGGCATATCTAGTTTCCAATTTTCTTCCAGTTTCTGTAGAATTCTGGACAGTTATTGCATTTTACTATATAAATGATGTTAGTATTGTGCAAGTCTACATAATTTCTTAGTAATGATTTTAGTTTAGGGCTGGGTTTTGTAGTGAATTTGAAGTCAACAGGAATTTTGTTTAATGGCAAGTTTTTTCCTAGTATTGATTATTTTTGAACTGATTTCAGGGATAAATGGTAAACTGCAGTGTAATGTTGTGTTGTTGTTTGGTATATTAGTGTCAATTTTGTTCATGAGTTTTAAGATTTTTGTTCTAGTGGTTGTGTGGAAAGTTTTTGACAATAGTTGGTGTGAATGAAGGGATGCTTTATGTGGTTGATTTCTTCATCTATGTAGTCAGTTGAGCAGTCTTGAATCTGTGTATATAAGGTTTTTTAGTATACTGATTCTTTGTTTGGATTCATAGGCAGAATTCCAGAGAATTTAGAGGCCAATGTAAATGATTTTTTGGTGAATTTTGGTTTTGAACTGTGTGTGGGATCTAATAATATCATGGTTAAGACTTTGCTCAACTGACTACACAGATGAAGAAATCAACTTTATAAAGCATTCCTTCATTCACACCAACAAATTTCCACCAACTATGTTGACAACTTTCCACGCAACCATCAGAAAAAAAAACCCTTCAAAACTTAGTCTACAAACAAAATTGACACTAATACACCAAACAACAATACAATATCACACTGCAGTTTACCATTTATTCTTGAAATTAGTTCAAAAATAATCAACACTTGGAAAAAACTTGCCATTAAACATAAAATTCCTGTTGACTTTAAATTCACTCAAAAACCCAGCCTTAAACTAAAATCATTACCAAATAAAAATTGTATAGAATTGCACAATACTAACATCATTTATAAAATAATTTACAATAACTGTTCAGAATTCTACATCAGGGAAACTGGAAGAAAATTAGAAACCAAATTCACCAAACATAATAAAAAACCCTCCCATGTTTACCACCATTGCAACTATAAAAAAAAACAGTATATCTATACAAATCTATACTGTAATTTCCAACGAAGAATTAAACAACAACAAATGCAAAATAAAGGAAGCTATCTTAATTGAACAAAACAGGCCTACTCTAAACAAACATTCTGGGGTACCAAGATACCTTTATTAATCTGTTAAGTAATCTCTGGTAATGTGATCTCTTTGTTTCATACTGTATATATATTCCTGTGTCTATGCAAACTACTTATACCTGATGATGACATAATCTTGTTGAAACATTGTATATTTATAATAAAGTTTTCTTCATTAGCCATTTAAGCTGTCTCCAAACTTTTATTTTCTAAAAAGTGGGTTCCTCGACATAAAACTCAACATTCTATCATGCTTGACACAAAGTAAATAGCTCTATAGACAGCACAGTCATCTGTCAAAAGAAGAGTGCCTGTGTATATTTTTGAGTATCAGTGCACTGGTAAGCATATCAGTACTTACCTGCTAAAAGTGGCTTAGGAGAGCCCTGAAATTTGTTTATAGTTGTTTACAATTTCAAATATATTTCAAACAAAATGTTATCTTTTTTCTTATGTTGAAAACAGTAGAAAAAGTTTTTACTCAACAAATACTGGTACTTGTTATTGCTCAGCAGCAGTCATTGTGCATGTACATCTCACTTTTTGATACTAAATTTGTGACCATAGTTTAAAGTATTTTACATAACGTATGAGATAATGCATAATTTTCGGGGGAAAAAATTCTGAGCTAAACTGTTTTTACTTACTGAGAAATGCTATTTTGATCACTGAAGTGTGATTTTCAAATGTTTTGTTAATTTATGAATAGCTTGATAGAAATAACTTTAATGTTTTTTTTTTTATATGAGGATAAATTAAGATTTCTAAATCAAATTTATAGCATCTAAAAAGGTGTTATTCAGGAAAAATGTAGAAAATTATTTTTAACATAACAGCAATAATGCATAATTTCTTTTATCTTCTTACTATTGTTTTGTAGGAACCAATGTACAAAATCCAATGAAGTTAAAAACAAAAAAGTCTTATTTATGTATTGAATTGAAACACTAAACTTTATAATTAAATCACAAACTTAGTACCTTCATTTTCAGCATCAGTGAAGATGGTGATATCATGCTGTTCTAGTGGTTTAAACAACATATCAGCTTTCTTAGCAATGAAGTCATGTAACTTGATCTTCCAACTACGATCCTGAAGACTTGGTCAAAAATCAAAAGAAAACTGGTTTTACAAGAATACAACATTTAAACTCCTTAATCTTCAGGGTACATAACAATTAGCCACTATCACAACTCTCAAAACAATGATGATAGTAGCTTTATAATCTAAAACAGTGTGAAACTCAATATGAATATTCAAACTTCTCCAAACAATACCAGCCTTGTTACTTCATTCCAAATGAAACAAAGTTTACAAATTATTATTCTATGGTGCAATATTTGAATCTTATTGCCCCTTCAGCTAACTGATTCTTCAAATATTTGTTTAATAGTAGCCTTTCTTATTCATTCAGTAAGGCAATGTACTTAGACATCAGGTTTTTGATGCATAGGATAAAATGTCTACTTGATACTAAATGAAATTCAAATTCGATATTGAAGTTCTCTTAAAGAAGATATTGCAAAAACATAAAATTAAATTGATTGAAAATTACAGTTGATATCAATAAGTAAACAAAATATGAAAATTACCTTAAAATATTTTCAGATTTTCAAATCAATCACTTCTAGTTCTGAAGAACTTTTTTTTTTGAGTAATCATTATAGATATTCTATACATTCTTAAAGAATGCCATTTTCTTTTCCTTTTATTTGGTTTTGAACATTCTTAGAACACCAGCTTTCATCTAATGAATCCTGTATCTCAAAAGGCTCTAACCTGGATTCTTTGGCTCTTGTGTGGTACTCAAAGTAATCCACATTTCGAAGATTAATGCTTCGAAGTCTCTCAGTGCCTTGTTCATTCTCAAGAGCATTAAGCAATTCTTGACCATGATAATTCAATGTTTTAGTCAAAAGCTCTGAGTCCATGGTTAAGTTTCAAAAAACAAATATATAATCTATGGGAAAAAAGAAAAATAAAGAAATGTTTAACAACCTAAAAAAGAAGACAACATGGCAAACAAATTTATAGTGAACTGATAAAACTTGAAAACTACAGAAATGGATTTTTTTAAATGAGAAAACAAATATAATCACAAGCATCATCCTGTATAATATATTTAAAAAAGTCAATAGCCTAAGTTTTAACAAACTACAAAATTAACCAAATTAACTTGTTATGATGATGTAAGTGACTCAAATATACTGGCAAACATTTCTGAAAACCTACAATCTTAACATAAGATGTACAAGTATTGAGAAGATTTGGCAAGAGAATACAGTGATGACATACATGTACAAGTATAAAAGAGAATCACTTAAGGTGAAAATATATGTACAGTATGACTCCAAACCATGCAAGTTTATTAGTAAATCAAGCTTCAACAATTCCAATACAACATAGTCATGGCCTTCGTTTTCCAAAGAAAACGGATTTCAAATTATAGTACTTTTATGTAAAATATTACCACAATACAAATATGCTTTTTTAAGTTTCGGGAGTTGTATATTAGCAGAATTAAAAATGTAAGAGAATAACACTTAATGTGTGACACTGAGTTATAATGAGTACACAGCATACTGAAATCTCATTGACACTCCTTAAAAGAATGTCAATAATACAAGTATACTACATGTAATCATGTTACAACTAGATGTCTGTTCAAATGTGTGTTATTCTCAACTCATGCAAAATATTATACCAAATTAACGTAATTTACTTCCTTTTGCCTTTCAACAAGTATTTCTACACGTACCATATATCACATTGTCACCTTCATTCAGTCGATCTAGCTAAACAAGTTTTCTTTCTTTATGTCCCATCTTGAAAACAATACTAGGCATTATTCTGTTGAAACTTCTAGATTTGCAGTCACTCTAATTTCCTCTCTAAAATATGACTGGCTTACAAGGCATAGTTTATTTTCTTCTTCAGATTTTCCCACTGATGGTTTAACTAAGCACATACACTTCTGTTCAAACTGAAGGGATCTTCTAGTACATTTCAGATAATCAGTTTCTCACCTGGCAGTGTCTCTCAGTAATAATACATACATTTCATAATAATACATACATTCAGATGAACTATTTCAAGATACACTAATGTGTTTTATTGGTTATTCTACTTTAGTTTCATTCTGTTTAGAATTTTTGTTTTTGGATTTGTGGAATTCCAGCATTCCTCTTAGTAAATGAAAAATTCAATATATATATATATATATATATATTATTGTTTCTTTGGTATTCACTAGTGATTTCATTCAAGTACTTCAAAACTGAATGTTCCCAAGGGATCTTCCTTTGACATCTAGTGAAACAACAACCTATTCAGATTTTTTCATACTGTCAATAACATTTTGTTCAATCCATTTTCTCTTTCACAGTAACTGCTGACAAGTTGTATACATACTATTATATACAGTAACGAAGACTTCCACACAATTTTTAATGCAATGCTTTATTTTCTTCTTCGTATTTTCCATTTACAATTCAAGGATACATTTTTCCTCACATAGCTGGTTTCTTCCACACAATTTTTAACACAATGCTTCATTTTCTCCTTCGTATTTCCATTTACAATTCAAGGATACATTTTTCCTCACATAGCTGGTTTATTTCCTGAGAATTTCTAAACAGTATCTTAACAATTTCCTCTTTCGTATTCATCAGAGAAAATCCAAATTCTCTCTTTTAATATACTCTGCTGATGAGAAAAATGTGTAATCTATCGTTTTTTGGCCAATCAATTTATAACAAAAGCTTTAAATCCACAGCTTACAAGTGAAGTATAACCTTTGTTGAACATTTATTTAGTCAACCAGTTCTTGGACATTTTGTTGGTACATGTAATTTCAATATATTTTTCTGTGCAATCAGTACAGTTTTCTACCTAAAAACCATGTTAAAATTAAATATGATTATTAATATACACATATTATCAATATATTTTAACACACAATAACAATGAATGCCATCAATAGTTAATGAGTGTCCAATTCTAAAAGAATAGCTTTGATATTTTATAAAGATCAAATTCCAAAAAAAACATTTAGATTTTGTTCAGAACCATGAATTACATTGTATACGAATGATTACAAATGTCCAATACATTAAGAATGAACATCAGTTGAACCTTTATAATACACCACTTTAACAGCAATGATACCACAGATTAGTGCTCATCCAGGTTAAATACCTGTAAAGTGCTTAACTTATGCCAACAGAAAGACAAATTTAAAATAGAACATGCATTACAAACATTCAAGATGCACCTTCAACTTACCTAGTTATTATAACAACACTGCACTGTACACTATGTTTTCAAGAATCACTATATTGACCGCATAACACATTTCTTCAGTACCTATCCAATCGAAAACTGTATGTTGCAAGATTTCTCATAAGAAAAAAAAAGGATAAAGGTGAAACAATATAAGCATTTTGAATGGATTCACTATTATGTAGCACTACAACAAATAGTATACTGAAAAATTTAATGAATGTGTATCTATAACTTATATTCTTAAATACAGGATTAAACTTTAATCATACATATTAGTATTAATATTAACTTACAGTCAGAGCAGGTTATGTACTTAGAATGAAACTAAGATCAACCTGGCAACCAGTATAACTAATCTTTCTTACAATTCTACTTATAAAGATTAAAATATATTTCATTATTAGTTGGGTACCCTTTTTGTTAACAAAAATTTTTGGCCATATTATGAAACTTAATATAACACTACTTAAAAGAAAAATAAAACTATATGGCTTATTCAAAAGAAAATTTTACTAGATCTAATGATTTTAGTGTAATTTGTTTCTTTACAAATTACCTAACTTAAAGACTTGTATGCTGAAAGGTATTTTATGGTTCATATTCTAATGTGTTTTTATAGAAATATGAAAAAGAAAGCCTAACTCTGCAGGTTATCTCTCAGTACAAATGTTAATTAGATACAATAGAATTGCAGGTAGCAAAACTGCCCAGCATTTATCATATATTGAGCCACAATACAGTACATTAAATAAGAAAGAAATGGAAGATACAGGTGATCCTCAGCATTCTAAAGCACTTTTCCCTGTGTTCATTCATTTCTGTACTTTCAGAATTATTGGACTATTATGCCCAAGACAATACATTCAAATGATTAGTTCTTAACTTCTCTAAATTTGTGAAGATTGACCGGGCGTAGTGTAGCTTCAATTCTTCAAAGGTAAATTTGTGTTTGTAATTTATTTAACTAAGTATTTTTTTTCCAAACAATGAAAATAATATTCAAGTTCAATAATTAAAACTGCAAACTGCTGGAAAAAATATGCTAATTTCAAGTGCCTTATGATTTTATACCAAATAGTAGAAGCAGTTGTAAGAGATTTACTCTGTGAATTATACATTATTATATGTACATGTGTATAAGTAACATTGAACCATGCAATTTTATTTTATAAGAACATTTTTTTAATATTATCCAAAATCTTTTAGGTTATTTACTTGTATAAAACTAGAATAAATATCAAAGCAAATCCAATAATAAATTACTTTAAACAATTATTTTAAACAAAATAAAAATCAACTACTAAGCTTCAAAAATTACATGGTTACTTATAAAGTTGCGGATTATTTTTCCACCAGCATATAGTATCACATATGTATTCACTATGCAACATTTTGCATAAACATGAACACAACTTATTGTTTATTAGTAGCAAATTATGCTATAATTTTCTACACTATTTTTGCACTCAGAATACTGGCTGGCAGATCAATTTGATAAAAGTATGCTACAAATAAAAAAAAATTAAATTAACACTAGTGTTTATTATGGTTAAATATCACATAACTGCTTCTCAAATAAATATAAACTTATAACCATATAAATTCACTTACCTCCTAGTTCTTTGAAATATTTTTTTATTTACTGAGGCGAATTTAAGGACATCCTATCCAGCAAACTCTCAGAATGAACACGTTTCATGTAGCATGATTTAATACCAACTTATATACATACATATGAGAATATTCAGAGCTGTCAAGGTTAGTGCATTCTCACCTTGATTAAACTATCCAAGAAACATTTAAAACAATTTTTAGAGCAATATTGTTGCTAGTAATAATGAGAATTAAAAATGATATACATTATCACATGTAGTGCTTATCAAATTTTGTTTTTTATAAATCTGGTTACCATAACAAACAATTTGACAATGCAAATTAACTGTTAGAAATTTCAGTTTTTTAGTATAAAAAAATATGCTGCTCAGAATGTTTTAAAGAAACAGCTTGTACATAAAATATTTGTAACGTTTCCTAAAATTGGGTTACGTAAAAGTTAAATATCTTAATAATAATAATGATAGCAGTACTTTAAGAACACCTACAGATTAAGTAGGGAAAGTCTAAACATACTTGATTGAAAAGCTCTTAAGCAAAGTTATTGTGTAAAAAATGAAAAAACAGTAGTAAATGCATGAAATGTGAAAAGAGGTCCAAAACAAAATGGTTTATTTTTTATTATATTTGTCAGTCATAAAAAAGGTAAAATAAAAGTGCATACAATCCATTTACTGAAGTGCTTCAACAATTGTTTAAATGCCAATAAACATTCTGTGTAAGCTATAATTCACTTCTTTAAATTATTTTATACGCTTCTGTATAATCCACAATAATCTGAAGAGTTTCATTTTACGCCTAAAAATAGATCCAACTTTCAGACTATTTTCAATGGAAGGAAAAAAAAAAAGAAAAAATAATAATTCTGATACAAGTTATTGTCCAAACCAAGAAATAGTTACATGTTCAGAAAAACAACAACAATTTCCACAGTATGTCCATAAAAAAACAACATAAAAAGGTATTACTAGGAAAATGACAAAAAGTATTTAGTAGAACTTGGTATTCTTGTTTATCACTTATCTTTCATTAAAGTCATTTCACAATCACTCATTCATTAGGATTTCCCTGTAAGATATCCTTGTTCTGCATTTAAGGAGTTTCAGGTTGTGATGTTAGAACAGTAGCTACTCTGTATTTTGTGGAAACAATTGGTTTATCTTCACTTCATAAATGTTGTCAGTTTCTGAGAACTGTTCAATTGCTTTTATTAAGTACAAAAAAAAATAAAAAATGTACAATGGGCTAACTGTGCTATACCCACCACAGGTACTAAACCTTATTTATAGTGTTATTAGCCCTCAGACTTAACACTGAGCTACAAGGGGTGGGACTTCTGTGAAACGTTGTTCATTATACATACTTCTAGGTGCAAGCTGGGACTGACAGGAATCTTCGTGCTCACATAGTATTAGAAATATGTGTTAATCTTTCACCAAGTAATGGATCAGACTGTAACTTTTACAGTAGTTGAGATGAATTGAAATCAATTTCACTTGTGAGAGCAACTTCTTAGCCATGATCTGTTTGACCAGTATTGTTAATAACATAAGTGATTGGAGGTACTTCACTGCAGCAATCGTAGAATAATTTGCGTGTCTTTTTCAAATGAAATAGCTTTTTCTGGAGCGAGTTTCAGTGGATAAGTTTGCTCAACTGTGTCAATAAAACTTTGATACCTTGATAAATAGATATATGAATATCATCAGTATATCTACAAGCCCAACCATTGTGCTGTTATAGCATCCTACTGAGTCTGTAATTAACTATCTTTAAAAATTTATTTTCACATCCCATAGGCTTGTGTCCTATGAAGCTGTTTAAACAAATATTTCAACAATTTGGCAGCCCAATATTTAGTTATTCAGCTATAGGCCTTAGCCAAGTGCTGAGTACCACCTGGTTAAAACACTATCTGTTACATCGCTAAAGTTATACATTCAGAGTATTAGCTGCTTACACTTAATGATTTCTGTTGGACATTTGTAAAACCTATTGGACTATTTCAAATTAATATGATGGCATTAGAAACTATGTTTTACTGATTATTTAAAGTAATGTTTTCAATTCGATGGAAGTTAACATTACTATATCTCTTTGATTGTAACTAAATTTATATAATTCAGTTTTTAAACACTTTCATATATGTATTAAAATCACTTCAAATGCTGCATCTAGTTTTAACTTGTTACAACAATATATATCTCAAAAAGAAAACTCAGCTAGTCTAGACAATATATATTTATTACAAGTAAAAAAACTCCAAAACTTTTCTCTACCTTTAACTAATATTTATAATATATAAAAAAAAATATTTAATTTTACACACTTCTAGACTATTTGTGCTTCAAAAATCAAAGAAACAAAAGGGCATAATATCTGTATTGTATGCCTCTTTGGTCTAGAGAAAGCTTCTTAAAGTACATTTAAAAACTTAGTCAAATTTATTCACATAATCAAAACACCAAAGTAAGTAACAGAAATACATTATATTTATAGTTTGAAATTCATATATTTCATGATTTATACAATTTCGAAAATACAGACATATTCAAAAACATTTTAGCAGTTGTTTTGCCTGGTATATCTCCATAACTAAAGAAATGGACACAAGTCTAAGAAAAATATTATTTATTTGAAGAGTGAAGGGAAATAATCAGATGTTCTCTTATTCTTTAGGGGTTACTAATTTTTAGATCAATAATTTTAAAATTCAGCTAAAAAAGTATGTTAATAATGACGCTAAGTCTTTAATCACTTCCTTAGGCTTATGACTATAACTTTAAGAAATTTATAATATTTTTACTAAGGTAAATCAAATTGACTTCAAATGTTGACATACCATGTGATTCTTCTTTGCATTATTGTCATTAGCATGCCAATTTATGGTTTTCTGAAACCAGTGAAGGCATGCCTAAGAAACAGGTTTATGTGATAATAATATCCTATTTAAGTAGTATAAAAAGAGGGTCTTATAAGAAGCAACAAAGCTGATTACTCAGTAGTATGTAAAAAGGATGTAAAAAATATAAAATAAAACTAAAACAATTACACAGTTGACAAATGGGAACAAAAATCTATTGAATTACATACTTTCGAAAGCAATACAGAAAATTACTCTTAAATATCTTACCTTTCAATAAATATATGAATAGAGCTTGTTCTCACAGACAGAAGGACAACCAAGTGACCGAGACTGAAAATGGAGGAAATCTGCCAAGCATAATGAACATTTTTGGTCCAAAGTATTTCCCCCCCAGAATCCAAAAGTTATTCTTGTTTTGAGCAGTCTTAGTAAATTTATTTTTGCTATTAAAACGGCTATGATTACATTTTAGCAAAAATCAATCCGTTTTTGTCTTCACTCTCCATACACACTATTTAGCACTTCTCTTTCTTCACACCACTGCCAATGCCTTTTATTCTTTACATCTTTATCAGTTAGGTGTGTATCACTCCATGATTCATGGGTAATTGTATATCAAGGCTTCAATACTTAAGGAAAATTACACAGGTATGCCCAAAATAAATGTCATACAACAATGCGAGTCTTGAAGTGGGTAGCACACATCTATCAATTAAGTATGATTAATTTCCACTGTTCAAGAATATCAGCATGTCAGTGCAGCAAAATTTATGTTTAGGCCTGCATAAGTTAATCAATTAGTTTACTGATTATACTAACATTCAAAGTAATCAAAATACTGCCATAATGACTTTTCAATATTATTATTCACCTTAACTGATTAGTGTCATGCCTCATGAAAATAATCAACTAATTAAAATTATTGTTTCTGATTACTGTAACTATCCAAGACTCCTGTGAGAATCTTCAATTAGCTGAATGTAATCAATTAACAAATCCCACTAACTGCCCAGTTCTATTAATCAATTAATAGGAAAGGAAAAATATCAGTGCCTACTTTATAAATTACAAAGTTTTGTGTTTTGGTGTACATAGACATTGGAAACAAACACAGTATCAACTTGTATAATTTAAAAACAAGAGGGAATCCTTAATAGCTGCAGCTGTAATTAGATCTCAAATCGGTCAAGAGATGGAACTCTGAGCTAAAAGTTTGTACTTGAAAAAAAAACTCGGAGCCATTCTATGAGCCGCTATGCCATGGCTAAAAAAGGAAACAATAGAATTTTGATAAAGATCTCAAAGGCACCAAACGTTTGTGCTTAGAGAACTGAATCACCAACTTAGGTACTGAAAACAAGTTCTATTGGAAAACTAAATAATGTTGATTAAACACTAAACATCAAAACATGGTACTTTTCAATGAACTGTCAATGTTCAAAAGATGTTTTGAACATAGTGTATTGGACCAACACAAAAATCTTTTTCCATGAAGCTTTTAACACAGTTACAAGTTTTTACATTTTCAATACTTATGAATGTTCTGTGTTGATACTGTTAAATTTAACAGCATTGGTTGCACCTAAGCTTAAACACTGCAGAATCATTATTGATGTAAATACTGTATTAATATATATTGGTATGATTAATTCACAAATAATCATT